TTTTGGAAGGGATTCAAGGACACGGTTAGCCAGACTTAAGTCCTGGAAATGGGAGATACATTGCCTGCACTTTAACCCTTAAACTGTCCAAACAGATCTGCATTCACATGCATAGTGCTCCAAAAGTAGTTCTACGTTTTTTTACATATATTCAAATATAAAAAAAAAAAAAGTAGATCAAAGTTTTTTTTACATTTTTTTCAAATGTAAAAAAAGAGAAAGAAGCACTACGTTTTTTTACATTCTTTCAAATGTTGAAAAAACGTAGATCTACGTTTGAACAGCTAACTCTTTCAGGGTCGGTCCCATATGTGTACGGCTCGAGAGCCAGTGTCAGTCCCGTATTTATACTCCAAAATTCTAGTGCCTTGAGATTGGTGGAAGAAAGCTGGTAGGCCTACATATGAAAGAATGGGTCTGTTGTCAGTGTGTGCAGTATTGAAAAAGTCCTGCAGCACGCAGTGCATAATTAGGAAAAAAACTCCGACCGTGTTTTTGGTTTTAAACTATGGCTTTGCAGTGTATTTTCGTATTGTATTTATGGTTATATTCTCATCTTCTTGGTCTCATTTGATAGAATGGAAGATATATTACAGAAATAGAAATGATTTTCATTGGTTTCACGATGAAAAGCACCTTGAAATTGAGCTCAAGGCAGTAGAAATGTTAAATTTTTGCTGATGTTCAAGAGTAAACAAACTATGCCACGCATCCAATACATGTCGACTGGTGAATTTAATATTCTTTCACAAGTGCACTGATATTATTTATACCATTTTTACAATAATGCAGTAATTTGCATTACCGTAAATCCTCTATTTTTTGTGAGAATAAAAAATTCAAAATGGAAAGCTAGAGTATTATGAGAGGGGCCTAGAGATGTGACTAATGAACAGAGAAAATGTTAGTTTAGTACCAGGAATGTATGTCTTGTTTATTCTGTACCCTATTTTGAAATTGGCATCTTTTGAAATTTGTGTGAAATTGGCCAAATTGCCAATTTGTGACCATTTTATTGGGTAGTTGAAATCGGTAAATGGGCGGTTTCTTGTACTCAGTTGATAGATCAAATGGAGTTCTAGTGAAATAGCTATGATTTTAGTTGACTGGAACACTGGAATTGGCCGAAAATAGGAGACTTATCTTATCTCTAACTTTTGTTCTATAAACCTGGAAGAAATCTTTTGGGTTAGTTTTCGAATCCCTAGCGACTTTAATTTCATAGTCCCGTTTAGCTTTTCTTATTCCCTTTTTAACATCCCTTTTAATGTCAATAGAATGATTCATAAGATGGCCATTACCTCTTTTAATGCACCTATAAATTTCTTTCTTTTGCCCTAAAAGTTATTTGAGCCTATTATTCATCCATTTTGGGTCATTTCTATTCAATCTAATTTCTTTATACAGGATAAATGTTCTTTGGGCAGCTTGTAAAGTGTTTAGAAAGCTGTCACATTGATAGCCCTCTTCATTACCCCAATCAACAGATAAGTGTTCTCTAAGTCTATTGTAATCTGCTAAGTGAAAATCTGGGACTGTTACTGAGTTGTTCCTACTATCATACTTCCATTCAATGCTAAAGGTAATTGATTTGTGGTTGCTTGTGCTGATTTTTCTCTGTAATTTCTAAATTATTAACAAGGGCTTCCTTGTTTGCCAGAACCATGTCAAGCAGGTTATTTCCCCTTGTAGGTTCTGTCACAAACTTCTTTAAAACACAGTCCTGAACTACTACTAAAAAGTCATTGGACCCCCGACATTCGATGGCATCGACATTTGGTAAATCCGACATTCGATGCATTTTAACGCAAAAATTTCGCCTCAACATTCGATGGAAAACCCGACATTCAATACGATTCGTACGAGACGTGTCCACGTGTGGCCTGAACTGCACCGTGTGTGCCAGTGTTTACAAGCCAGCCAGTGTACGCGCATCTAAGGATACATTCGGTAGATTCCATATTATCCATATTATCACTGTTCGGGGTGCTTGTTTCTGCAAAATAAGTAACCATGGACCCCAAGAAAAGCTTCTAGTGCCAACCCTTTGAGAAAAAAGGTGCTAATGACTATTGAAATGAAGAAAGAGATAATTGCAAAGCACGAAAGTGGAGTGCGTTTTGTCGGAGTGCACGATGTTTGACAAAGAAATGGCCTGCAACTAGTGGTGATGTGAGTAAAATTTAAGGCCAGCAAAGGTTGGTTTGAAAGATTTAAAAAATCGTAGTGGCATACACAATGTGGTAAGGCATGGTGAGGCTGCCAGTTCAAGTCCTAATGGAAGGGGATTCCCCTTCTAAACACTAACACCATCCACACTCTCCCCTCCTCCCATCCCATCAATCATAAACCAGATCTTTATTAACCCTTTCAGGGTCCGTCCCGTAGATCTACGGCTTTTACGTTCAGGGTCCAAAACCGTAGATCTACGTCATGAGCTCAGCTCACTCTGATAAACTGTGAGTGGTAAAATTTGGGCCTAGATATGAGAGAAACATCTATGTGGTTTTGTGTGCACCACAAAAAAACAAATCCTGCGCACACTGTGTATAATGAGAGAAAAAAAACTGAGACCATGATTTTTGGGATTAAAACAGCGACTTTGCAGTGTTTTTTTCCTATTTTTTTTTATAGTTTGTATTTGTGATTTCTTGGTCTCATTTGATAGAATGGAAGACATATTACAGAAATAGAGAAAATTTTTTGATTGGTGTTAGCACGGGAAAATGGCTTGAAATTGAGCTCAAAGTGGCGGAAAAATGTTAATTTTGCCGATGTTCAAGAGTAAAAAAAACGACCTCACACGTCAAATACACGCCAGCTGGTGGGTCTAATATACATTCACAAATGTGTTTGATGATATTTATACAATTATTACAATATTGCATAACAGTAAATCTTCTATTTTTGGTGTGAATAAAAATTCATTATGTGAATAAAAAATCAAAATGGAATTTATTTGTAAAGCCTCAAAACATAACTAATGAACAGAGGAAATGTTAGTTTAGTGCCAGGAATACCTACATTGTTTATCTGGAAACCCCATTTTGAAATTGGAATATTTTGAACTTTGTGTTAAATTGGCCAAATTACCAATTTCCGGTCACTTTTTTTGTAGTTGAAACAGTTGACTTGGCGATTTCTTGTGCTCAATCGATAGAATAGAAGTAATACTAGTGAAATAGCTGAGAATTTGGTCGACTGGAATAATGTAATTGGCCTAAAATGGGAGTCAAAATCGGCAAAATCGCCGATTAGTAAATATCGCTGACACATCAAAATTCACGAGAGCATAATTTCGTCAATTTTCCATCAAATTTCGTACTTTTTGTTTTATTACATTCACAAAAAGATTATCTACCATTTATAAGAAAAAATAACAATTTTTTTTTTTGAAAATTCTTGGACACTGGGGCACCACTTCAGATTTTGGCCTTGGACCCTGAAAGGGTTAAAGGTAAATGTCAGTTATTCTATTGTTATTAATCTATTGTTATTGTTGTTATTGTAATTATTCTATTGCATTAAACTTAATATTTCATGTGGTAAATTTTTTTTTTCATACTTTTGCGTGTCTTGCACGGATTAATTTGATTTCCATTATTTCTTATGGGGGAAAAATTTAAATTTAAATTTCTATATTTTCGACATTTGATAAACTCTTAGGGAAAGGATTTAGTATCGAATGTCGAGGGTCCACTGTAGATGCTA